AGACAAGATCGTGAGAATCCCTTAGGTTAAATCTAATCCGAGCAGGAGGAAGATTAATGGAGGTGACGTTACTTGTAGTTCGCGTTTGCCCGTTTGTTCCTTCGAAAACTAAATGTCGACCTCAAGATTGAAACAAGAATAAGGCGGAAGAGAATCTTGGAAACATTGATGATGACTCATCTTTATTGCTCATATTAATACCGAGATCCTTAACTATACGATGATTAATCTCGCGATTAATCGTATCACTTTTTTACGAGCAAATGTCAAACAAGACGAATGTATATTTCGAAAAATATTAATGACTAATTTTATCAAAAAAATAGAAATAAAAAATTAAAATAAAATTGGACAAAATAATTTGATTGTGTCATAAATTATAAAAATTATATCGATTGTTAATAAAATTTATTCTATCGTAATAAACACGGTCGATGAAAAACATTTTGTAGAGTGTCAAACGCATAATGAAGTATCTTCGATGATAAGAAATATAACGACGTGAAATCTTACAAAGGTACGAGACCGAATTTATCAGGCGTCGCTTCGCGAAACTTCGTTTTTCGTGTCGAAAAATGTTCTTCGCGAGCAGGTAAAGCCGTCCTTTTTGATTACGCGGTTTACGTTCCGAATGTAATTAAGGTAACGAATATCGCGCGCAGGAAAGATGGGAGCGTGTTTCGTTGTCTCGACCAGTTTTTGCTCGCACTCGAATGTCGCCTCTTTAACACAGTAAAGGTCTCCAGGAAGACAGGAGTGACTGAAGAAGGAAAGAAAGAGGAGGGAAGAGAGTAGGGCGAAAAGAGAATCGAAGTTCCCGACAGCACTCCGTGGGACCCTCGGGGCCGCGCTTAATTGGATCGAATCGAGTCGAGGCAACGACGAGGAAGAGTCACCGCTCGTACGCTCGTTTCGCGTCTTAAATTTCAATTATTTCGAACTGCGATCAGAGACCCTTGGATCAAAACGTCGGTTTATTTGTCGTTAATAAAACACAAACGCTTTCCTTCTGACTGGACTGAGATTAATTGGAAAAACTTGGAGCGTTTGAACTCGCTAAAATAACTAACGTTCGATTCCAGATTATACCTCTGTTGTGAGCGATATCTTTAATGTAAGTTCTATCTCTTCTTTTTTTGTGATGCGAGCAAGAGAATTTAACAATAAATAAAGTTAATTGGAAAGATACTTTTAAAGAAGACAGATTTTTTTTTTATATAAATTAGAAAATATGTAAGAGATACACGGAGAATATTTTATATTTATATATACACACACACTATATTTATGCATTAATATAAAATTGATCACTTACTGTGGAAAGAGACGTTTAATTTAAAAAATAACAAATAAAATAAATTAAATAAATTGTAAATTACTCATCTCACAGTTACTCCTCGCTGTCGCCCAATGCCTCTCTTTCCCCTCTTGCTTCTCCTTTGCTGCCCTTTTATGACACTTTTGCATGACACTCACGAAAACACGGTTAATTACGATCACGGGCGCACTAATTGGTGGAATACGACGATCGCGTGACACTTTACAGGGCGCTTCCAATGTATAATCATCGTGCGCGACACGCACTTTATTTCATTGATGAGAGAACAACGTGAAAATTATGGCGCTCGAAAATTTTGCTATTCAAATTCACGCGTCACTTGCTGCGGTGACATTTAACAGATAATATACACTTTCGTTTTACAATTACTCACCTGGTATTATAAAGTTTGGAATACGAATTAAACATAAATATTCAAGGATTGTGCAATATTCAAAGATATAGTTAAGTTTGTCGACTGTTTGCACGACTAATTTTGAATAAATTTTGCGGGATATGCGTTTTGACAAATTGCAACGATGGATTATAGAAACGCCAAATTTATTATGCGCGATTGATAAATATTAAAATGTAGGATTAATAACGCAGGAAAAAAAATATTAAAATGCAGGATTAATGTACTTATTATAATTGAACATATCGCGACGCTGTTCGATCAGCCTCGTAAACGCAAACGTTTTGTTAATGACCGTAAATGGCATTGGCGACTTCACTTTGATATCGCGCGATATTACGCGAGTCGAGTTAATGGCTAGTTGAGAGGCAATGTACCGTCCCGAAATATATATAATCGAAATTCACGATATTGCATGCGAGATACATAATAAATCCCGCGAAATAAATTATTAATTAACGGTCGATATATCATCGGTTTTCCTTTACTTGTATTATTCGATCCGGTAATCGTATATTACTCCCGATAATTATAGGCAAATAATGCTTAAATCGGTGAAAAATTTTAAACGCGGTATATATTCATATCTAAATAAATTAAAGAAATAATTATCGTTTTAAATATTGAGAAATAAAATAATAATTACCCTTCCCTAATGCTTCATTTTCTTCTCGTCCATATTTTAGAAAAATAAATTGGTAGCGACATATTATCGTAGTATTTTTCGAGACACGATCGTGAGAAGTACTGGAAGACGTCAAATGCGTAATAATTACAATTATTGGTTATTAGTTAGCGTGATTCGTATGAACATTGCGACGACAGCTATTTATCGAAGCAATATTTCGCGTAATATATTTGGAAGAAGAATCTCGGAACGACATGAGATGGAAATTATAAATTGTTTTGTTATGATAAAACAAATAAGTTAATTTGTTAGTAATTGTAAAATGTTTACGGGCATATAATGACTTCTTTAAATATACCTCGAATATATTTTGCCTCGCGCTGTAATTTGAATTTTTCGCTTGTTTTCAAATGTAATTAACCCATCATTTTCATATCAAAAATTTTGAGTAATATACAAACCAGGGTAAAATAATAAAAATCAAAGCCATTACGGAATTAATCCATCACACATATATTAGGTCTACCGGAAAGTTTTGTCCGTTTTTGGAATAAAACAAAATACAAATTTTTATTACCGTCAATAAACTTTATTAAATAATTTAATTTTCATTATTCGGAGAAGTATTGTCAGCAACTGGATAATTTAAATACAGCAGTCCAAGAAAAGAGGCCGGCGATGTTCAATAGGAAGAACATCATACTGCATCATGATAATGCCAGGCCACATGCTGCTTTGGGGACTCGTCAAAAAATTGCAGAACTAGGCTGGGATATTCTGTCGTGTGTGTGAAGCTAGCATATCATTTCGTAGAAGATCATAAATAATTAGGAGTTCTGGCTTTATTTTCAATAGTTCTAGAGTTCTTGATAGTTTAAACAAATAGTTCTGGCGATTAAACCAAAGAAAATGCCTTAGGACAAACTGATATGCCAACTTCACGCAGCATATCACTTTGTCCTACGACATTTTCCTTATCAATAATTGTTCAAATTTAAAAGATCTATAGTTCTATATGAGTTCTAAGAAGAGTTCTGCCTTCTAAAAGTAAAAAATATCCATTAAAATGAAATAAAACAATTTTTTACCCGTAAAACTCGTATTTTCGAGACTAGAGGTGATATGCTGGCCGAATTTCGAGAGTTCTGATTATTATAAAATAGTTCTCGTGTAGTTCTGGGCATGTACATTGCTTTTCCAAAGAGTTCTGATGAAGGAAACAATTAGAAAATTTTTTAAACAATTATTTTACCCGAAAAACTCGTATTTTCGAGTATAGGGGTGATATGCTGGCCGTATCTAAAAAATTTAAAAATTTTCTAATTATTTCCTTCATCAGAACTCTTTGGAAAAGCAATGTACATGCCCAGAACTACACGAGAACTATTTTATAATAATCAGAACTCTCGAAATACGGCCAGCATATCACCTCTATACTCGAAAATACGAGTTTTACGGGTAAAAAATTGTTTTATTTCATTTTAATAAATATTTTTTACTTTTAGAAGGCAGAACTCTTCTTAGAACTCATATAGAACTATAGATCTTTTAAATTTGAACAATTATTGATAAGGAAAACGTCGTAGGACAAAGTGATATGCTGCGTGAAGTTGGCATATCAGTTTGTCCTGAGGCATTTTCTTTGGTTTAATCGCCAGAACTATTTGTTTAAACTATCAAGAACTCTAGAACTATTGAAAATAAAGCCAGAACTCTTAATTATTTATGATCTTCCACGAAATAATATGCTAGCTTCACACACACCTGGACGGAATTCAAAGAAAATACGTAAAATGGATACTAGGTTTGGAAAGGACAACGCCGAATTACATAGTAGTAAGTGCTATTAGAACTCTTAGTTTTTTCTTGAAATTCGTAAAACGTCGTGCCAACTTCACAGACACAGCATTGAAGCCTTTTTTCCGTGATGCTGATTGGCTGTCTCACTTGTGCGCTGCGACTTGCTTCACTCGTGTTATCAAATTACGATTATCAAATCATGCAAATTTTGACAGGTTGACAGTTTGTGAAAGAAAAAGTTAAAGTTATGGAAAGAAAAGTTAAAAAAATTGGAAATTGTCCGTAAATAAAAGCGCGCGCGTAGCGTGCGCCTGTGTTATTCTAGTTAATTATAAAAAAAGTGAGTTTTGGGGAAGAGAAAAAATTTTCTGAATTTTTCAAAAATTTTGACATTTCTGCTTTACAACTTTATTTACAACTTGGTTTTTACTGCTTTATTATATCGTTAACCCATTAGTTATCGCAGATAGTAAATGATAAATTTATTGCAAAATATTGTGGTCGCGTCATATCTGATTTTCGCATCGGTTATTTTTTAATCTTTTTGCACTTCTTTGACTTGCATATTCCGCAAGCGCGTGCGGAATATGCACTGCCTTCGGCTCCGGCTACCTACCTACGGCGTGACCTTTCACTCACGTCATCGCGACGACCTCCGCGCTCCGAGGGGTGACGATCAACGCCGCGGAGGCGCTGCCGATCCGATGTGAAACATTACACCGATATTAAGCCAGCGAGCTGGTGTTGGAGCCCTCCTCGGTGCAACGATGACGACCGACTCAGTTGGTCCGCCGCCACTCGACGGATAGCTCGTCAAGCGAATAGACATACTATCGCGTTTTACCTCTCGAAACACGATTTGTTCTTTGTACCGTTTTCGGTCTCGATTACCGCTTTTTCACGTTGAAATCATTAGATTATTGAAAATTGATTGCATCAAGCGATACGTGAGACAAATTATGTAGTTGGTTGAAATATGATGGAATACAACTGTTTGAGAGATAATTAAATTGGATTTTAATGGCTTTTACTTATAACTGATAATCTACATGATCGGTTTACGATACACCGATTTTTTTCTTTAATTTTATTATTTTAAACGGTGAGAGTACTATCCTAGTTTCAAGTTGAGATATATGTAGCCGCTTCAATTGATAACATTATAATTATCGCTGCATTTTCTTCGTGCGAATTATATCGAAGAGTGACAGATCAAGAAAATAAAGACGATTGCAAACTGATACAAACGATAAATATTTTTACAATCATAATTGTTTATAACATTGTTTACAATGTTATTTACAACGTTATTTACAACATTGTTCACAACATTGTTTACAACATTGTACAAGAATGCAATATGTTATTATTTGATTGTAATTACGAATTTTTGTTTGTAACTCTCGTTTAAAAACTTCTGGAGCAAAATCGATCGTACCAATGTGACATTACGTTTAGTAGCCGCACTCATTTGCATATCATGAGAAAGCTCTTGTCCATACATCGCGAAACATGATTGTGCTGAAGCAGAAAGCTTCTCTACATTACGGTCTTCCACCGCCACCGGTACCCCAGCCACCCTCGCCCTGGTCCAGCATACTCTGGGGCGATGATCCGCGACCACGCGGACGAAAAGTCGCGTGTGGTGTACGCGTCACGCAACTTCGGAACAAAGTCACTGCAAAAGTAAGCCTTCATGCTAGAACCTTAGAGTTCAATGATTTTTCTGATTGTTCAACTAGCACAATCACGCTACGTAGTGCGCTTTGTGTGCTACCGATACTCGTAATACTATTGTAGTAAATAAAAATCGAGTGAGAAATACTCCGATATTTTACCTTTTCAGGAAAACTATATACAGAGTGTCCGTCCATAAATGTCCGAGCAAATATCTTACAACTGATTGAAGTTACAAAGTTTAATAAGAGAAATTAGCACAGTTTTTAGTCCATAATAAAAAGCATGTAAAAAAAATTTGTTTACTCGTAACCTTTTCAAGTTATAAAGATCACCATCGTTTTTTTAAATGGACCCCCTATTTTTTATTGCATATTTTTATAGCCCTTCTTGAGACCTTTTCAAAATGCTATAATAAAGTATTTTTCCATTAAGTATTTTTCGAGTTATTTTATATCTTAATCTGACATATTTTGAAATAAAATACATTTTATTTGATATATTTTGATATAAAATAAGTATTTTTATTAGTATTTGATATGAAATACATTTTATATTAAAATATGTTAGATAAAATTTTATATCAAAATATTTCAGATTAAGATATAAAATAACTCGAAAAATACTTAATGGAAAAATACTTTATTATAGTGTTTTAAAAAGGTTTCAAGAAAGGGTATAAGAATATGCAATAAAAAATAGGGGGTCTCATTTAAAAAAACGATGATGACCTTTATAACTTGAAAAGGTTACGAGTAAAAAAAATTATTTTACATGCTCTTTATTGCGGACTGAAAATTGTGCTAATTTCTTTTAATAAACTTATACTTTCTTGTAATTTCAATCAGTTGTGAGATATTTGCTCGGACATTTATGGACGGACACTCTGTATAGTTGAATATAAGAGATTATTTTTATTATATTATATAAAATGTATTGTAATACATGTGGAATTTATTTTATGAATGGATTCTTTGACTAATTTGCAGTTAATCTTTCTTTAGCAAATGTTTTTAGATTATTGTGGACTCCGTTATACATATATATTCATATATATACATATATGTGTATGTATTATATATAAAACTTCTTGTTTCTTGATATTATATATGTTGAAAACTAATAAAATTAAAAATCTTTTAAAATCCGTTTGAAAATTGAATAAAAAATATAAATTTTAATGAGAAATAAAAGTATCTATGTATATTTATTCCTGAAGTTTTTAACTTGCGATGAGTTATAATTTGTGAATCGATGCATTGTTAATTTCATCACAGCGCTGCCATTCAGTCACTTAAATCACTTTGTGTTACCTTTTTTCACAAGTCACTAGAAAGTTATTATCGTCCAAAATGGATCACTATAGTCACTTTTTTTTATTGAGCTGACATAAAATTTGTAAAACATAAGAGTTCTATTCATATTTTTGCTGTCTCGTCTGATAACAATTGTTACTTGCTTACATATTTCATAAAATGCACTATTTATTTAATTATTTTTTATTAATTTGTTATATGTTAGGCTATCCAAACATAGATTTTTTTTCTTAAATGGCTTTAATTACTATGAAAATTTAATGCACAGTGTCATTTTTGGTTGCTATTTTAATATCTAAAGGTTACTTTTTGTCGCTTTTTCTGTCAAAAAGCAGTCACTATTTCATTTTTTTTTAGTCCGATGACTGGATGGCAGCGCTGTGTCATCAAGAAAACATTTACTTCAAATTTATCAAAGAATATATCTTAAAAATCGCTTCTGCATTATGATATAATACATTCCGCACATTATAAAAATAAATAAACACATCTTTTTTGTTTTTGATTTTTTGATTTTTTTGCTAAATTTGCTGGAAATAATTGAAATAAAAATTTTGTATTTGTATCGGTGTATTATATTTATATTGTTTTTAAAAAGACGTCTTATACTAAACTTCTATGCATTTAATTTCTTTATTTTTGTAAGATATTGGACGAATTTTTTGTTATAATGGAAATTTATCATAGCCACATATATTCGTGACAAAATAAATTAGTGTACTGTGTAAAGTAAATGCCGGTGTGAAGCTAGCACCTCATATTCAAAAATTGAAAATTTTATCAAGAATTCTATTTGCACCCTAAATAGTTCTACAGTTCCTGATAGGTTTTAGAAATAGTTCCGGTGAAAAACCTAAAAACATTGCATTTTGAAAATATGAGGTGCCAACTTCTCGTGGTACCGCAAAATGCGAGAAATGCCATTTAAATTATCGTATCCTATAGTTCTCGAAGAGTTCTACAGTTTCTGATAAGTTTTAGTAATAATTTCGGCCTCTAAATATTTTTAAATAATTTTTGAATCTCAGAGCTGGCACGTCATCTTCCGCTAAAAGTGGCCAGAACTTTTTCATTTATGATTTTACAGTTTCGAACCTTAATTTTTTTAGGTTTTTCACCGGAACTATTTCTAAAACCTATCAGGAACTGTTGAACTATTTGGGGTGCAAATAGAACTCTTGATAAAACTTTTGAATATGAGGTGCTAACTTCACACCGGCAAAGTAAATTAGGTTTCGATGAGAATAAAAAACGAGTCGTGGAAATAAGTACAATTCTGTAAAGATAATTGAGGTGAACAACTACCGTTACCCGAATTAATCACATACTTTTCTTCGAGGCTAATCAAGATCTACGATAACGTCATGCTAAGCAACATGCAAATCATATCGAGT